GAAAAAAGGAAAGCTTACCTAGAGTACCGTAAACAATTGAACACACTTATTAAGGTGACAAAGAAAAATTACTTTATAAAAGAAATTATGAAAAATAATAAGTCTTCAAAAAATATGTGGAAAATAGTAAATAACTATAATAGTGAAAATGTTAATACTCAAAATATCAAAGAAATACTTACTGCAAATAACCAAAGTATTACCGACACAAATGAGATCGCCGAGGAATTTAACAAATATTTTTCAAAAGTTGGAGAATCATATGCTCAGAAGATAATAAAACCTCCTTCTCGACCACCAAAGAGAAACGTTACAATAAATTCCTTCTTTTTATTACCTGTGGATGAAAATGACGTTGTTCAGATTATAGCCTCATTAAAATCGAACAAAGCTCCAGGAATAGATGGTATTAAATCTGAAGTACTTAAAGAACTATCGCCAATACTAACTGGTCCCATTACTTATTTATTAAATAATGTATTTTCTAGCGGCAAATGGCCCGAACAACTTAAGCAAACAGTGGTGATTCCCATTCATAAGAAAGGCGATCCAAAATTAACAAATAATTACAGACCAATCTCACTAATCACTTCACTTTGCAAGATATTGGAAAAGGCTATAAAATATCAACTAGTATTATACTTAGAAAAATATAAGTTAATTTCAAACAAACAATATGGTTTTAGGGAGGGAGTATCCGCAGAAAATGCAATATCGTACCTATCTAACAAAATTTACAACTTAGTTGACAGCAGTATACCAACAGCTTGTGTATTCCTAGACCTGGCAAAGGCGTTCGATACGGTTAGTCACTCACAACTATTAGATACTTTAGCAGACATTGGTATAAGAGGAAACACATTTAACTTAATGGAAAGCTACTTAAAAAATCGATATCAAAGAGTGCGACTAGAAGGGAAATTGAGTAGTGCTAAAAGCATAAATTTTGGTATACCACAAGGGACTGTACTAGGACCCATATTATTTATACTGTACATAAACAATATTCTTACTTACCGGAGTGAAGGTGAGATATTAAGTTTTGCAGATGATACAGCAATTTTGTACTCTGCAGACACGTGGATGGAACTAAAGCGAAAAATGGAACATGACTTAGGAAGAATTATTGATATATTTAACCACAAACTTCTTACAGTAAATATGGATAAGACAGTTTATGTTCCATTTACAAGCTATAAGAGAGGTCTACCAGATTACAAATTTATAAAAATAAAAAATCTGAGTATTAATGCAGTGAGTAACACAAAATACCTTGGTGTTCAAATCGACTCGTATCTACGATGGGATATACACATAAACCAAACGTGTAAAACATTGAGATGTCTATTGTACAAAATGCGATATTTACGTAATATACTGGATATCCATCATCTGAAGGTTATTTACTATTCTTTGGTAGAATCGCGTCTACGTTATGGAATCCTTAGTTGGGGTGGAGTTGCAAATACATACCTCCACCAATTAGACATTATCCAAAGAAAAATATTAAAAATTATTTACAATAGACCTTCGAGATACCCTACTAATGATCTTTATACCGAAACTCAAATGTTAGATACAAGACAGTTATATATTCTTACAATAATCACCAATTTATACAAAAATAAACACTTACTCACACCATTAGGGCATACCTATCATACGAGAAATAGAGCACAGTCTTTTGTCAAATTAAATATTGCAAAGAAAACAGTTGGTAAACGAAATTTTGAGTATTTACAAGGAAGAATCTACAATTTGCTCCCTGAAATTTACAAAACATACCTAATCACTATAAACTCGCAAAAAATGATTAAGACATTGTTTACTAGGTATTTGAAACAAAATCATAGACAACTGTTCAGCCACCTTTTTGAGACCAATTAGGTTATAACTAACGTCAAATCAAGAATAGATTACGAAATCTTAAAAAATTATATATGCTATTATCTTGGTTGATTGTATGCATGAATTGTCTCTCTCTTGTTAATTAATTATTAAAGGTTTTTTTGTTATTTTTTTGTTTTATCTTAATATAGGTATAAGTGTAACTAATAAAGTAGTAAAACTCGCCTTCCTGTAGGATCAATATAAATAAGCAATTTAAAAAATGGCCCATGCTCAACTTAATTGTTTTAATGGGCACTACTGTTTATTTACCTTGAACCAATTACAGAACTACAAAGTAAAAGTAATATTTTTTTAAAATTTTATTGTCATTTAATTATTTTATTGTAATATTATTAATTGTATATTTCATGGAAATAAACGTTATTATTATTATTATTATTATATATATATATATATATATATATATATATATATATATATATATAAATACAGTATCCAGCAAGACCACTTATCTCTCAATAATCATTGTATGCCCAACACTTATTTCATCTTCTAAAATCAATTCTATAGACAAATAAATGGTGCCTCAATGGGCTCTCCACTCCAGTAATTGCCAATATGTTTATGGAAAACTTCCAGACCCATTAACTATCCACATCAATACTCAAACCAATATGTTAGCTACGATATGTTGACGATACATTCGTCATTTGGCCCCATGGCAATGATGCTTTGGTGTCTTTTCAAACTCATCTGAATGGTATACATCCTAGTATCCAGTTCACGATGGAGGTGGAAATTGATTCACCCCTACCGTTTCTCGACGATATCATAAACAAAAACCAATCCCAAGGTTTTCATTACTCTGTTTATCGAAATTTCACCCATAACAATCGTTACTTGCATGTCAACGCTCATTATACCCCTTCAAAAATTAATTCAGTCATTAATACGCTTGTCTCCAGATCAATACGCCTTTGCGTTGATGTAAGTAGACTCGCTGAGCTCTCTACAAACATCAATCTCCCACTCAATCTCAACCCAAAGACTCAGACCATCATCTTACGAAAGCTTTTCTTCCTTACATCAAAGGTGTCACTGACAAAATTCTTAAATCAAGAGGAAAAAAGACAATATTTGCCCCCCAACAAAAACTTTCATTTCTTGTCCGATTAATCAAAGACAACATTACAAATGAGCAACACGAAGTTTATGAAATTACTTTTGCAGACTGCCCCTGATCGTTTATAGGTCAAACGAATTGTAGTATCCACAAAAGGATTTATGAACATACTACTCAATTTCAGCTCTAGGTCAACACCATCTTCATATAGGTCACAAATGATTTTGAAAACTCCAGAACCATAGCTCCCATCCGCTTCTATAAACCAAGAATTATCCGAAAAGCCATAGAAATTGAAAAAGGTTCGCGCCAACCCCCGCAAATCTCCATCTAAACCACGTCACCATCGAGGGTATAAAAATGAACCCTCCTCTATTCCCAGCACCAGTAATGCAATGATTAGGGATCAGTGTAGTAGTGTCTGGGGGCTCGGTAGACAGACCTTGGAAGCCCTGAAGAAGACATCGAAGAGAATATCGAAAGCTCTGCGCAATGATAATCGACGCGATTCAACCGTTAAGTTTAATACTAATTCCTGGAATAGTATTAATCTTAGCTCTAGGTTTAATTGTACTAACTGCGGAAACCTTTCGGAACACATATCTATATATATATATATATATATATATATATATATATATATATATATATATATATATATATATATTTATAATATATATATATATATATATTTATATATATTTATATATATATATATATATATATATATATATATATATATATATATATATATACATATTTATATACCGGGTGGTGAATCGTCAAACGGACCATAGGAAACTCGATGAGAAATTTTAAATTGTTGAATTGCTGCTTCCCTAATTATTTTAGATCAAAAGTCATAAAAAACTATTTGTAGAGGACTAAAATCTGAATTAAAAACAAATGTTAAAACCGTTCTACAACTCAAATTTACTTAAAAATTTTGCAAAAATTTAATACATTTTTCAGGACACCCCTAAAAGTTAGGCCACACGTAATGCAAGAATATATATTAGGATGTTTGTGTTTTATCATATTTATGTCAGATGTTTGACAATTTGAATTGTCAATTTTTTTATTTTATGATTAATTTATAAACAATGAATTTTACCAAATACTACTACTAATGAACATTATTACTTTGTGAACAAAAAATTATATTGTTTACAAATCGATCAATATAATGAAATGTACTTAGTTGACGAAAAATCGCATAATGTTGTATTCAGGCAATAGCGCGAACCTTTTCCTGCCACTACCGGATCTTTATTTAACGTAAGATATTCTAATTCACTAAAATTTAATTCCATGTTAAGTTAAGTTATACAACAATTCAATGAATTCCAATATACTGTTACTGTGATCTTTATTCCTAATAATAATATATGATAATTTCTAAACATAAAACTATAACAAATGTTATAATAAAACATGAATAAAACATTTTTATTATTGCTTTTTTCTTCCCAACTGAGTACATTTTTTAATCAACTTAATTTTTTTTTAACAATAAATCACAAAATTTTGGCCATTTAAATCATAGATAAATGTAATACAATTGATTTAAATATTGTCAAATATCAGAAACAATAATATGACAAAACGCAACACGTAATACACATTTTTTCACAGAAAAATGTATTATATTTTAGCAAAATTTTGGAATACGTTTAAGTCGTAGAATAATTTTAACAGTTGTTTTCGATACATATTTGAGTCCTCTACAAATAGTTTCCCATGACTTTTGGTGTAAAATAATTAGGGAAGCAGGAATTCAACAATTTAGAATTTCCCATTGAGTTTCCTATGGCCCGTTTGACGATTCACCCACCCTGTATACGAATCTAAATATATGTAGTACTCACCTTTCGGAACACAAATCTATATCTTATATATATATATATATATATATATATATATATATATATATATATATATATATATACGAATCTAAATATATGTAGTACTCACCTGGTTGTTGGTTGGATGTTTGCGATAGATCTTCCAGATACATTATATTTACCGGCAAAGTTATATGCTTGAGGATGCAGACTCCTGATTTTTCGAAGTTCTCCACGAATTGTTTACAGTTGTTATAATCGGCAGAAAGAATGATCAATTTAATATTCCGTTCTTGCAAATATCTTTTTACAGCAATTAAAATAAAATCTGATAAGTAGTCGTATTCATGGAAATTATCTATTATAATGTGTGTGACATTGTTTAAATCATTCAAATTACCACACAATTTTCGAAGAAAGACCGATGGTGTGCAATAGATCACATTTGTATGACAACCATACAGTTGCTCAAGTACAATATGATATCCTATAGATATACCAACAGCTTCGTTTCTTTCGAAAGCTACCCTCTCAGCTGTAATTTGGGCAGCAATCTTATTGGGTTGGATAACTATTATCTTGCAGGGTGTTCTTCTAAGAGACGCCTCCTCTATAATAAATTGTGGAATTTGTGTAGATTTGCCAGAAGCCGGTTCTCCATATATAAAAATTGTGCGGAATTGGTTTATATTTTTCATAATATCCTCTTTGCATTTATACGCTGCCAATGATCTCTGAACTTGTTCAATTTGGTCAGAGGGTAAGACATATTTAGGGATGCCTGGTGAAGATAATAAAATAATGATATTATTATAATTTTACAATACATTATATAAGTAATTGCAAAAGTCTTACTTATAAATTTTTTATAAGCAAGGCTTTTGCAATGATGGAAATGGTTTTTTCTAACTTTTTTAAAATCATTTTGATATAATAATTATCTCTCCTGCTTATGTAGAATCATTGAAAGTTCATTTTTTTTCTGACTTATGTTATTGCAAAAAAAAGTTGTTTGTTATTGAAAAAATTACTCTGAAAGCCATTTTAACACTAGAAAGTCGGGCTTAGCATACCTACCTAGAAAGCCCGAAGGGATCATTTAACTATTTATTTGGGAATAAACAGAAAAAATAAAAATAAACAGTTTTAAGAAATTATATAACTCTTGACGATAGAATTTGATTTAATTTTTTAGTTTCATTTTAAACATTTGGAACACCATACAGTTTGTCAGTTTAACTGACATGTTTTGGCTAGTAACAGTGCTGGTGGTTGGTAAATCCGGTGGAGCTGGGTATAGTACCAGATTTCGGGAGGCAAGGTATGGAGCCCGTAATTCTTCACACAGCTGAAGAATAAACTTACGACGACTGATTTTACTTCCAGTAACTTCTTTATAAATAATCCATGCATTTATTGCTCCTAAGTCAAGAATGTTATAAAACACGTGCATTGGCCATCGTCTTGAAGCAACTTTTGTAGTATAAAGACGCGCCATTTGGTCCACTACATCAACCCCGTATTTTGTTTTATTATAAAAACTTACTGTTTGAGGAAGTTTTTTTCTATCGACAGCAACATCCACTGATTGATGTAATGAGCTCAACAAAAGCACATTTTTGTGACTCTTTCCTTGGTATTCAGTAAGTGTTATCTTTTCGTCGCTCTGGAATATATGGGTAACATATAATTCTCCATTTTTACTCTTTACGCTTGGAGGAACTTCCTTTCTGTTGCGATTCAAAGTACCCACAAGACTTGTTGATTTTTTTGCAATGCCTTGGCCAATTTTAACTATGTAACGTAGTTATCTGTCGTAACATTTTGCCCTTTCCCAGTTGATTTTCCATTAACCGCAAAACAACATGTTCACCAACACTTGTATCTTTCTTGCGTAGATGATCAGTGCCAGTATAAGGGTAACCGTTTACAATATATTTTCATTCCACGCATGTCAAAAGCCAAAATTTTATGCTAAACTTATCCGGCTTATTTGATATGTACTGTGTGAACGGGCATCTGGCTTTAGAAGGCAGTAGTTGTTCGTCCACAGTAAGGTTTATTCCCGGTTTGTAACATGCAGCACCACTATTTTCTATAAATCCATTCCAAACCGCAGAGGCTAGAGCAAATTTGTCGGTTTTCAATCGTTCAGATCTCGTTTGCTTTATGTCAAATCTGAGATATTTTATAATATCCTTGAATCTGTCTCGTGGCATAGTTTGCCTAAAAAACTGAGGACCCCATACTGTTGACCACAAGCTGTTGGTTGGGAAATTTTTGGCGCCGTAGACTCCTCTTGCGTACATAATGGCAAGGGCAGCCTCCAGTTCTTCCAAAGTTATAGTCCATGTGTCATTTTTCAAACATCGATGTGCTTCTGCAATAGTTCTCTTTTATATGACGTAACATGCTGTCGTTGATTATTAGATGCCAAGCACTTACCACACAATTGTTCCTCACGTTCCTTTTTGCATACGACGTAGGACTTGATTCCTCCCGATAAATGTTGTGCTGAGCGCGGCGTCCTGTAATGAGCAAACATTCAATGAATATGATGATACTAAAAATCATAATCTTACCAGGTACTGATCCAGAATCAATACCTTTCCACGTTGTTCCGTCTTTCGATTGTTCGGTGTCTCCGATTGAAATAGTTTTTCCTTGTTGACCTCTTTTTCTCTTGTGACTTGGCTTAGATGCCCTTGGATTCACGATAAAATTAGCTGACTCGTGCTGTTGAGTTGTAGGAGCAGTGTTTACATAAATTGGTGAGTCTTGTACAATAAAACTTTCTAACTGCTCTGAAGCATCAAAGTCACTTGAATCATTATTTTGTGATGGTACGTATTGTTCATCGTCTGACTCATTATTTTCTGCAAATTCAGATTCACCTCCCGAAACATCTTGTATTTTTCGTACTTCTTCAAGAAGTTCAAGCTCTGATAGACCACGACGAGACATCTTTACAGTCGTCTTGAATTTTCACAATTGAACGAATGTTTCAATATTCTAGAAATGAGAGTCAGCAGAACCTAATAAACCGCTCAATAAACAAAATACTTTCAAGGAACAAACAGTATGTAACAAAATACCTTCTAGGAATAAATGTACATAAACATAATTTTATCTATCCGACAGAAAGTTAAAAGAAATCGTCAAATTTCCGAGAAAACGATAATAATTAATACAGGGCCAGTATGGCCCCTTCAGACTTCTATGGTAGGTTTGTTAGAAAATCCATTTAATAAATTTAGTAAACAATATTTTTTTGCGTTAAATAAGACTTTGTATCAAAATATTAAAAGTCATAAAATATGAAATTATTATTGTGTCAAATAAAAGAACTACAATAACTTCAAATCGCAACAGGGGTCAAATTGGCCGCTCCGACTTTCTAGTGTTAAAGCTTTAAACGTGTTTTAGCAAATAATTACCTCCAAATCCGTTAAAAATGCTTTACTTTTTACTACTAGACGAAAGTTCTTAAAATGGTTCATTTTTGGCCTTAAATTGTGAATAATTTAAATAGTCGAAACTTATTACAAGAAACATAGAGGTTTTGGTTATAGATACCTGGCCGGATCGAATTCTCCAACAGGGTACCTTTTTACCTTCTCTTTGCCTTTTTTCTATACTATAAGCAAAATTTTCTCTAAACAAAGTATTAAAACTACATGGTATAACTCATACCTGGTGGACTTAGCTGAATCCTTCCCGATTTTTTATAGGGTACAATGGGATAACTGTCAGATGTTTCGAAATCACGGAACTGATTCTCAAGGTATAGCCTTGATTTTTCTGTAGCCTTGAAGTTAAATTTTTCGTTCTTATGGGCCATGTTGGTATTTTGTATTTATGAAATCTATATATTTATACGTTAAGAGATTTCGTTGGTTCACCTAAAACAAAAAAATGCTACAAATAACTCGAAATTTGTTTCTTAAGTAAGTTTAACATACTCAGGTAGAATGACTTTCCATATACAAAATTACAATCGATTATGTACAAAATAATTTCAAAAAATAAATTACTCAAAATCATTAAAAATCTGTCCATAATTTTTTTAAATGTTTTTACAGGGTAAAAGTTCTCCAAATCTAATGAATCATCTTTCTTTACATTTGAACGAAAAGCATTCCAAGAAATATTTCGAAATTTTTTGTGAAAATCTAAAAATACAAGTGTACGTTAAGATCTAAAATGATTAAACAATTACATGAAGGAAAATGTTGAGCAAAAAAGGAAATTATTTCGTGAACATATCGATACCTTAATTCTATAACTCGGTAACTCCATATTAACTTATTTTACAGAATCAACAAAAATGATGCGCTAACCTTTTTGGGAATACTGAAACTTACACAACAGTTAAATAAAAATGTCAAATATTTATAATCATACATTTTATTATCAAATTAATAGTAATATTGACAATTATTACAAATAGTAGTTACGTTTTGTTAAAAAATAAAATTAGATTATGTAACATATCTACTTTTGGTTTTAAAGAGATATCTACTTTTTGGTTCTATATAAGAGATATCTATAATTGTTATCCACTTATAGTACTAATAAGTCGATAAGAAAAATTAAATAAAAACAAACAAAGGAACATGAAACCCCTAAATAAAACAAGAAACATAAAAATTGGATTTTGACAGAAACTAAAAAGCTACATATATCTATTCATCATCGTTACCACTTGCATAATCTTCATCTATACAATTTCCATGTGGCAAATTTTCATAAAAAAATTTATAGTCTACGCTAATTGCTGGTGGGTTTGATGTAAATAATGACATTAAGTCATTGTATTTTGCATTGGAAATTGGTCTTCTCGAAGGGTATAACTTTTCTACATTTGATTGAATATTATACCTGGTTCGTTTGTTGCAGTCTAATACTTTAAAATTTTCGTTAAATTTTTCTTTACATAAAATTACATTGTGCCTATCTTTGTTAAATCGCAGCCAACTAATTTTTTGCCAGTTAATATTATTTTCATTATTTTTTTTGCTTAATTAAAAGGGATTTTTGAGTTCTTTTCCCGTTTGACGATTTGTCAACCTCAAATTTCTTTTGCATTACTAATGTTTCTTTAGTAAACTGTTTACAGTTGAAGAAACTATTATGGTCCATGTCATGAACCACATACGGTTTATCACCTGTTCGTCTAGAATTTCTTGCTATAGTTTTGTAGTCTTCTGGCCATGAAATTTTTCGCACTCTTTTAATTTCGTGACTTATTGCAGCGTAAATGGAATCACATTCCATGTCTGAATGAGGTATTTTATATCAATGATTTAATGTGTTCAATATCTTGAACTGCTTTTAAACACATTGCTGCAATAAATTTATTAAGCTTTTGACCTCTACACCGGTCGCCATAGAGAATTACTTGTCCGATGTGTTCTGGAAGCAGGGTAAAATATTTGTGTAAACAACCGGCTACTTTGCAACTTCCCCTAGCACCTTCAGCTTGATGCCACAAGAAACAGTCACCCTGTTTGGACACCACATTCTAGATGGTAAAGTTGTATGTGGTCAGTCTGCGTTTATAAAACAAAGCAATATTTTTCTTATCGCTAGGGGCCAGTAATACCTGTTGTAAATCAAAATTACAATTTATAATATTGTTCGACGTTGTAAACTTTGTCTTTTTTTTTTCTCATCCCTAGCACAATTTTTGGCTTCAATGTGCACATCATATTTTTCTTTTAATTGTACGTTGTCTACATCCGATGCATTTTTAAAGTGCATACATATGGAGCACTGGTCTTTTTTAGGTATGTGAAATCCTAAATTATAGTTTTCACTGAATATCTTTCGATACATGCATTCCTTAGCAGGAGTTTTGCGTAAATGACAGATGAAAAACCAAACACAAATAAGGTTATTAATGATACGTTGTTGCCAGGTTATATTTTAACAAAAAAATAGTATTATCATAAATTGTTCATTGACCTAGTTAGTTTTACATCGGTATTAAACACTAATGTGCATGGTTGCAATAATTTATTTTGTATATATAAAAAATCTAAAGGTAGAATTACGGTCTAGTTATTGTTTTTTTTTTATTCTCACTAGTCACTTATCTAGTTTTGGTTCAACAAGCAGAAATATTTTTACACCAATATATTTTTCTAAAAGTAGATAACTAGAGTTATCTATAAATGTTTTCGTTTGGCGTTAGTGCTGAATAGTAGATATCTGTACATATCAAGTTGTAGTTTTCAAAGAATGGCTCATATAACAGATACCTACTTTCAAACAAAATGTCATACCTAATGAAGTAGGGACAATATCAGATATCTACTTATAGCATTCGATACATTATTGTAAGGCCGATGTCTTAAAATGGATATCTCAGAATGAGCAAAAAAGTCGAGTTAGCTAGTTATGGAATTAAGGTATCGATATGACCAAGATACTAGAAGAATATAATCTAACTAATAGATTCAATAAACAACAATGGATGGCAGAAGAAATACTAAACCTAATGGAGCAAAAAAGACAATACAAGGACAAGGAAGACAAACACAGAAGAAAACAAAGACAAATAAAAAAATACGAGCGGCTAAAGAAAAGTGGATGGCGGATAGATGTTCAGGAATGGAAGAATTAGAAAATAAATATGACATGATCAATATGCAACATTAAGTTCGTGAATTAGCTGGTGAAATTTCCAAAAAAATAAACTTTTTTAAATGAATGTTTATTTCATAGCTTAAATAAAAACCCTATATAACGCCTTATTGTCATAATATTGTTGTTGTTTATTTAGGAACATAAACTTAATTAAAACTCTGGTAAAACATAAATAATGTTTAAATACTTTACATAATACAAAAACACAAAAATATGGAGAATGATCACAGGACAAAAAAAAACATGAACAAACTAATAAAAACGAAATGAATTCAGAAGGAAACATGGGCAGACTACTTTCGATCCCTAGTAACGATAATGGACCACCAACACCAGAGGTGACGACAAACGAAGTAAAAAATATTGAGGAGGAAGAGGTTAATTAACATTTAGGAAATTAAAAAATAGAAAATTACCAGGAGAGGACAGAATACCAAACGAACTCCTAAAGTACAGAGGACAAGATCTGACTAAACAACTATTAGAACTAATCCAAAAAATAATAGAACAAAACAGCATTTCTCAACAATGGAGATCAAGCATCCTAACACCTCTCTTTAAAAGGGAAGACAATTCTGACCCAGAAAATTACAGAGGAATTAATTTATTAAACACAACAGTAAAATTAATAACCTAAGTAATAATAAATAAATTGAATGAAATTTATAACACTAGCAGAAGAACTACAAGGTTTTAGGTCACGAAGATCATGCACCGAAGCTATATTTGTAACGAAGCAAATGCAACTAAGAACAAATGAAGAACAATTCCGAGAGGTCTTAGCATATAAGTTCGAATCTGATCTTTCACATAATCAAGATCAAATTGACGAGATTAATAAAAACCTTCTCGCAGCAGGACTACAGGTCGCAAAGAAAACAAGGACTAAAGAAGACAAAATAAGCAATGAAACTAAACAGCTAATGACGGAAAGAAGACAACTACAAGGGCAAAACAAACGCCATACTCAAGAATATAGGAACTTAATAAAGCAATTAGAAAAAAACTAAAACGCGACATACAAAAATGGAACGAGAACTTAATAGAGCGAGTCATTGAAAACAACAGAGGCTTAAAAATCATCAAAATTAAAGACGCCAACAATAAGGTAGAGAAGGACAAATATAAAATAACAAATATTGTCGAAGACTTCTACACATCCTTGTACAGCTCGCAAGGCCAACCTAATGAAACAACAAAGGAGAACGTCAAAAGAAAAATAAAAAAAGTGGGATCAGAAGAGCTACCAAATATAAAGCGATACGAAACAGAAAGAGCTTTAAAAGAACTAAAAAATACTAAAGCTTCAGGACAAGACGGTGTAATTGCCGAGCTCTTGAAAACAAGCAAGACATTAACAATCCCTGTACTAACAGAGCTATTTAATAGATGTCTCCATAATAGCGAGGACTGACATAATAGACTGGAACGAGAGTCTAGTAATACTCTTAGACAAAAAGGGGACAAATGTGACATATAAAATTATAGACCTATATCGTTGCTCAGTCAAGTAAACAAACTATTTATGAGAATTATTAATAACCGGTTAACCTACAAAATGGATAATTACCAACCGGTTGAACAGGCTGGCTTCCGCAAAGGATATAGTACATCAGACCATCTGCTGACAATGAGAACATTGATAGAGAAGGCAAATGAATACCAATTACCCGTATTTCTTGCCTTCGTCGACTATGAAAAGGCGTTTGATAGTATCGAGATGTGGGCCATAGAACAAGCTATTAATAATTGTAGAATAGATTCGAGATACATGCAACTAATACATAATATATATGAAAATGCAACTATGATAGTACAACTAGACGAAAATACAAATCCCACCCCCATTAAGAGAGGAGTGAGTCAAGGAGACGTAATATCGCCAAAGCTTTTCAACCTAGCCCTAAAAGACGTCTTCAAAACTACAAATTGGTCAACATATGGCATTAACGTTAATGGCAACAAGTTAAACCACCTCAGATTCGCTGACGACATAGTGATTACAGCGAGCACATTCTAGGAACTGCAAATTATGTTGGAAGAACTAGCAGCCAGCTCCCAACACGTCGGCCTAAAAATGAATATGAAAAAAAAACAAAAATAATGACAAACACAGATGACCCCAGACATATAACTATAAACGGCAGTGAGATAGAACAAATCCAGGAATATATCTACCTAGGCCAAATC